AATCTCAAGAACTGTCTCATTCAACAATGTGCATGGATCCCAACTGGAATGTACTGCATACTATATGCTTCCATTTATGCAGCATTCCTACGATGACAAGATTATGGAGAAAAAGAACTGAGTAGTGATAACCAGAGGTTAGAGATGGTAGCAGGATGGTAGGCCAATGCAACATGAGGGAGATCTTTGTAGTAATGGAATAGTTCTCTACCTTTATTGCGGCAGTGGCTACAAAAATATACACTGGAATTGTACTATGTCTATTTCTTGGTTTTGATACTGTACTTCTTGTTGTTCAAGAGTGGAGCTATAGAAAATGTAACCACTGGGGGAAACCAGACCTCTGTACTATTTTTAAAACTTCCTGTGAATCTATAATTATATCAAACTAAAGCTAAAAACTAAGTGGCAAGAATTATTCACTCTTTTTTCAAGGGAAAAAAACAGGACCATGCCATAGTATTAAGAGTTGGAAAAGACAAAGAAACCAAAGTAACAAGACCCAGTGTTCAGACTGCAGGTGAGAATTTACACAATAGGAGTGGCACCATTATCTATGGGAAAAAAGAGAGAATGACAATAGGAAAATTGTCCCACCATATAAAAATGAAACTGGCTCACAAACTTGTGACACACAAAAGGGCAGACTCTGGATATCTTAACAATCTATAAGTTTAAAAGAAAAGTATGGCCAGGTATGGTGGTACACATCTGTAAACTCACCACAAGGGAGGCTGAGGCAGGAGGATCACTGCAAATTTAAGGCCAGCCTGAGTTACATAGTGAATTCAAGGACAGCCAGAACTACAAAGCAAGACCTTGTCTCAAAAATAAAATAATTGAAATTAGTAATATATAAGAGAGTAACTTTATGACACAGAACTAGGAAAAGACTTCTAAAACAAAACCTCCAAAATACCATAGAGGAAAACTATTATATCAAAATTGAAAGCAGCCGGGTATGGTGGCGCACACCTGTAATCCCAGCACTCGGGAGGCTAAGGCAGGAGGATCACTGTGAGTTTGAGGCCAGCCTAGGCTACAATGTGAGCTCAAGGCCAGCCTGAACTGCATAGCGAGACCCTGTCTCAAAAAAGACAAAAAAAAAAAATTGAAGGTATCTGTTCAATGCAATATATCATGAAAAAGGTTACTGACAAATGACAAGATTGAGAATAGAGATGTACATAATACTTCAAGGATTAATATCTAGGAAATACAAGGAAGTTCTGCAAATCCAAAAGAGAAATTTGGAGCCAGGATGGTGATACAAGCCTGTAATCCCAGCACTAAGGAGGCTGAAGCAAGAGGATTACCTTGAGTTCCAGGCCAGCCTGGGCTATATAGAAAGACCTTGTCTCAAAAAACCAAACCAAACTAAAACAAAAACAAAAGAAAAGTTGGTGCCACGAGTTGAATATGGTTTAAATGTGTCCCCCAAGGGTTTATGTGTTACAATTTAATCCTCCCTGTGAAGGATTAAAGGAGTGGCCATTTAATCTTACTATGGGGTTTAGAGGTAGGGTCTGAGGAGTTTATTAGGATAAGATAATGTTATCTGAATGGAGCAGAATGATTGAATACTGGTGGCTTTAAAGACAGACCAGAAGAACACACACAGGCGCATACACAAGAATGTGTACACGTTTGCATTTCTTGTCTCAGGACACAGCAAGAAAGCCATCACCAGACACACCCTGCAAACTTGGATCTCCAGATCTTGGAGCCAACATAACCCTCTTCACATTAAACATACCAGGGCAAGGTGTGGTGGCACATGACTGTAATCCCAGCACTTGGGAGGCTGAGGCAGGAAGATGGCCAGGAGTTTGAGGCCAGCCTGGGCTACACAGTGAGTTTGAAGCCAGCCTGAAATATAAAGTGAGATCCTGTCTCCAGGAAAATAAATAAATAAACAAAAAAAAAAAAAAAAAAAAAAAAACCCTATGGTCCTGTACTGTGTTGTTAGCAGCAAAAACCAGACTAAGACTGAATCTCATATAAAAATGCATAAAGAAATGAACAGGCAATTTCAAAAAAGGAAAAACCCAAAAAGTAAAACGTACGAGAAAATGCTCAAATTCACTAATAAGAGTGAAATGTAATTTAAAATGACATTTCATTTTGTATCAATTAGACTGTAAAAACAGGTACACTGAATAACACTAAGCAATGATGGGGGTATAAGAACACAAGAATCTCCATGGACTACCTCATAGGACTACAGAGCACTGCAGCTTGTTCTGGAATATAATCTGCAGTGCTTCAGTAAAATATATAAATTTTGCATGATTAAAGAATTCTAATTGTAGCACTCAGGAGGCTGAGGCAGGCAGATGCAAAGTTCGAGAGCAGCCTAGGCTACCAGTGAGTTCAAGGCCAGTCTAGACTGCATAGAGAAACATCATCTCTAAATAAATATATAAACAAAAAAACAAACAAATGACAATACAATCATGGATATATATCTCAAAGAAATTACTATAAGTCTAAAAGTTATGTTTATCACAATACTATCTATAGTGCTAGGAAAATAAAGATAATGTTGGTAGCTACAAAGGGTGGACAAATGAACTGAAATGCCGTGCAGCATTAGAAACAAGGGAAACACATAAAAAGCACAGCAGAAAAAGAAAAAATTAATGTGATATATAGTATACGTCATCTCTGTCAGTTAAAAATGTGAGCACCCAAAGCAATACACATTAAACAACACAAACAGAAGGATGCACACTACACACACCCACACACACACACACACACACACACCCCAGAATGTTCGTGTTACTGGGCTGATGAGTAAGAGAAAAGCCAAGGATGTGGAAACAAAAGGCAATGAATGAAGAAAAAAAAGCGAATGAGAGGCCTTGAACAGCCCAATGTTGATCAGTGACTTGAATAAGACTAACTCAATCCTCTGTAAATGAGGTCCAAAAAAGCCCTCATGGACTCCCTGCTAACAGCACACCACTAAAGCTAAATGTCTTGCCTTTATCATGAAATAAGAGCAAAAAAATTGGTTAGGCACAAGGTTCACTCCCCCAAAATTTAATTTCACACAATTAACACTCAAGGTAGGGGATTTAGCTCACCGGCACAGCACTTGCCTGGCAAGCGCGAGGTCGTGAGTTTGATTCCCCGTACCAAGAAAAAAAAAAAAAAAAAAAAAAAAAAAACAAAAAAGCCCTCATGGACTCCCTGCTAACAGCACACCACTAAAGCTAAATGTCTTACCTTTACCAAGAAAAAAAAAAAAAAGAAACACTCAAGGTAAAAACCAGCCAGGCTCTGAGTGTGGTGGCACACACCTGCAATCCCAGCACTTGGGAGGCTGAGGCAGGAGGATACATGAGTTTGAGGTCAGTGTGGGCTACATAGTGAGTTCAAGGCCACCCTGAAACAGAGAGTGAGACTTGTCTCAAAAAAAAAAAACTTAAAAAGGTAAAATTTAGCTACATGCGGCAATAAGAAAAATGAAGTGCATCTTAGTTTTCCTGTTAAGAGGGGTTCTAGAATTTTAAAGAGACATTTAAAGCCAGGCATGGTGGTAAATGCCAGAAATCCCAGCGCTCAGGAGGCTGAGGGAGAAGGATTGTTGCAAATTTGAGGCCAGCCTGCAATACACAGTGAGTTCAACATCAGCCTGGAATACATAACAAGATCCTGTCTCAAATTTCCTCGCCACTCCAATAAGAACAACATGTAAACAAATGAATTTTTCTACTACAATTTCTAGTGAACAGTGAGACATTTACTATCTACTCATAGTGGTTCACTTTCCAACTTAAAATAACTAAGATCTGCTATTTGAGATAAAATCAAGGCTGTTTCCCTTTCTTCATAATAACAAAAACATTCTTACCACATTCATTTTTGAGCTGCCACCCACCCCCACTGTCCTAAGTTTGCTTATAAAGCTCCAAACTGTTCCAAGTTAGAATTTTTATGCAACAAAATGTCAAAAACTCAGTCAACTTCTTTCATACAACAAAGGATTATTTCAAAATCCTAAGAAAGACACACTGTAAAGAGTTACAGTTTGCCTCTTTGGTCACATGACATATATTTCAAGGCAAGGAATGAGTAGCTGCTCCTGACTGGACCCTAAAATCAGCAGCATCAAGATAACAATGCAGTCTGGCAACTGACGCTGACATCGTTTCAGAATACAAGAAACAGCAATTTCTGCGTACGACCTGAGAAACAGACAAAGTGAATGGGTAAAAAATACACAGTATAATTTTTTAATCAAAGAGCGTAGTGCAGCCGGGCATGGTGGTCCACACCTGCAATCCCAGCACGCAGGAGGCTGAGGCAGGAAGATTATTGCGAGTTCGAGGCCAGCCTGGGCTACGAAGTGAGTTCAAGGCCAGCCTGAACTGCACAGTGAAACCTGTCTCCAAAACAAGACCAAAAAGGCGCGGGGGGTGGTGGTAATGCGAACTCCAAACATACCCTCAGAACACCGGGACCCATTAGTAAGTGAAACAGCAAGTACCCTTTCCTAGGAGCAAGTCCTAGGCAAAAGGGCTGAGAATAGGTCTAACAGACTTATCAGTGGCTTAGGCAAGGACAAATTGAAGAGTAGCACCTACAGTTAAGGGCAGCCTATGTGTACCCCCTAAAGCAAACACACTCCCCAAAAGCACTGTTAGTAACCCCATGATCATCACTAATCACTCATCCCGTTGAGATTATCCGTGGGGACAAGGCAGCCTCACCTCAAGGCTAAGTCACTGTCACAGCAGCAAATGTCATTCATCAAACAAGAGGACCCAAAGGCTCCCTGGAAGGACCGCACGCTCCCGGGAAAGGCGCCCTGCGGTGGGCCTGACCAGCAGAAGCATCAGATCGAGCTTCCAGCAGCAGCAACCTGACTGACAGCCGGCGCCGCTCCCGACAGGGGCGGGTCCGCGACCCTTGCCCCTGGACCCCAGCCTCAAGGTGCGGGCACGAAGCGCGCGGAGGTTCCCCCAGGAGAGGATCACGAGCTCTCTCACCTGTCACAGCTTCATCTCTCTGCGTGGTGTTGTCTCTGAGACCGGCCGCGGGCGTCCCGGCGCAGCAAGACGAGGAGTGGGCGTATCCGACGAGGACGTGTGGGGTGCACAGAGCAGGGCGGGGAAACCTTAGGGACCGCAAACCCTGTCCTGCCGCCCTCTGTCCACCGAGGTAGCAAAGTGCTGCTGCCGCCGCCGCCACCACCGCCGCAGTAAATCAGCTGACACCAGCCTCAACTGCCGTGACTTTCGCCCAACTGTCGCAAAAAAAATGGAGGAGGAGGGAAGTGCTCACCGTTTCCGGAGACTCAGTGCTTCAGCGGGCCAGTAGGCGCCGGCTTCGTTACCGTGGAGACCGAATGGCTGACAGGGGTCAACTGTGGGCAAGCAGTGTGCGCCCGCCATCATTGTTGTGGGAATTCTGGGCGCTCTCCTCGTCTCCCAGCTCGCGTGGTGAGAGGACCTGAATGGAGAGAAGGATGAAATAGCAAGTCTAGGTTGTCCCGAGGGCAGAATGTGGAAAGCTTACGTTTCTACCCGTGTAACTCAGTTCAGGCTGTTGAGAAATGTTGCTGCTTCCTTCTGGCCTCAGAATTTAGCTGTTGCCTACGACACAGGGCCAGAGGAAAGAACTCTCCTTCGCGACTAGAGAAAGCCTGACTTTGTGCAATACTTCCATGGAGAAGGATGAATAAACGTCCACCGTGTGGACAGCAAACAGTAGTGGAGCTTGAGGTCTGCTTCTCAGAGAAGCAGGTCTTCCGATCTCACTTCCTCCTCTACGCAGTCGTCCTGGGGAGAATGCTTCTTCATTCTCAGTTCGCGTTTACAAGCTAGAGACGTATCCGTGTGGCTCTCTGGGAAATTGAAAGAGTTCAATGATAGTTCATGATTTGCTGTGCGTCCATCTTCTTCTCAAGTATTGGCCGAATGGGTGAATGAATGCCTTACTGGTGACTAATGGTTAGTTCGATTAAAAAGACACAAAGGCTATGCGTTCTATGGCTCTTTTCTCCCTTTTCCTTTATAGGCTGTCTAGTGAATCTGTGGAATAGGTGTGGATTCTATTACAGCTTTCCAAAGTTGCGGTGTGTACCAATCACAAACCCTACAGCTTTGTGAAGGAAACCAGCCTGGGCTACACAGGGAACTCAAGGCCAGCCTGAACTACATAGTCTGACCCGTCTTAAAAAAAAAAAGTGTGTGTCAATATATTCCTCTTGTGATGATGAATACATTTACACCATTAAGTTCATAACCTCCTTTATAATTTACATGAACTTTTTGGAAAAGCAAGATTCACAGACTGCTTACTATAGGATAATTTTAGACTACATTAAAACATTTGGTTTGTGAAGGAAACCTGTAGCATAAAGGCATATATATGGGGGCTGGGGATTTAGCTCAGCGGCAAAAAGCGCCTGCCTGGCAAGTGCAAGGTCGTGAGTTCGGTTCCCAGTACCGGAGAAAAACCAAAAACCAAAAAAAAAAAAAAAAAAAAAGGCATATATATGTATTGAGCCTTAGATAAAAGCAAAAGTGAGAACGAATCTGGCATGTTTGGCTTGAATGGAGGAAGGCAGGCTCTGCTTCCTTCTGAAACCCAAAAGGTAGGGAATTCCTGCACATAGAAAAGTGTGTTGGAACTGGACAGCTAAAAAGAATGGCAAATGTCCAGCAAGATATATAAGCTATAATACAGTGCAGTATAAGAAATGCATAAATAAAGAGTAGGGAAGAATGAGATGAATTACTTCCAGGGAGGAGTAAGGAAGTATAATCACATTAGGTTTTATAAAGCTCTACAAAAATGCACAGGATTTAGGATAGAATTGGGAAAGTAAAACAACTTTGTCACCAGTATTAAAATGTAAAATATGGATGAATACAATGAACAGAAAATTAAATTTGGGAGAAACACAGGAAATAAATTAGATGTAATAGAAAAAAAATGTGCCTAACTTTAAGTAGGGCCTAACTATTTCTATCCTGTGAGAGACTCCTCCAACAGGCAGTCTTTGTCTTGGCAGTCTCTCTTGGGTTGGTAAGACTGTCAGATTAAAGCCAGACCCAAGAAATTTAAAAATATGGTAAAATAGAATAA